AATCTGTTTCTGCCGAGCACTGGTGGCTTATGCTTGTAATCCTAGCTACTCAGAAGGCTGAGATTTGAGGAGGATCGCAGTTCAAAGCCAAACCACAGGCAAGAAAAGTCTGTGAGATGTTTAATATCAATTAATCACCCCCAGAATCTGGAAGTGGAGCAGTGGTTCAAAGGGCAGAGTGTCAGCCTTAGCAGAAAAAGCGAAGGGACAGTACCCATGTCCTGAGTTCAAGCCCAGAACTGGCACAAACCCCCTACCCCCCACCCCCCACAAAAACCCAACTTGTATTTTCTACTTTTGGTTTTCCAAAGGAGAAACTGAGGCAACAGCCTCAGTACTATCTCCAAATGAGCAAGAAAAGTTAAGAACCCAGATTTTTGGCCACTCAGAGTGCCACCTTCAGCTACCCACCCTGACAAGAGCCTTGCAACACTTCAAATCCTAGGCAAGGTTCATCTCTGGGTATGGCTGCCCTGAAACCTGGGAGCCACATGGCTAAGCCACGGGCTCACTGCCAGACTGGGAAAAACATGGGAAAACTCACTTTTCCTTAGACACACCTCTCCATCCGGTCTGGATTGTTTATTTATTTGTTGGCTTACAGTACTGCGTTAGGTAACTATTTTCTTCTTCTTCTTCTTTTTTTTTTTTTGTCGATCATGGGGCTTGAACTCTGGGCCTGGGCACTGTCCCTCAGCTCTTCAGCTCAAGCCTAGCACTCTACCACTTGAGCCACAGCACCACTTCTGGTTTTCTGGTGGTTTATTGGAGATAAGAGTCTCATGGACTTTTCTGCCTGGGCTGGCTTTGAACCATGATCCTCAGATCTCAGCCTCCTGAGTAGCTAGGATTTACAAGCATGAGCCACCAATGCCCAGCTGCAGACATTTCTACAACAAATTCTCCCATGCTCCTCCCCAATGCAGAAGCACCAACCCATGCCAGCTTAGGCCAAAGGCGACCTGTGACCTGTGACCTGATCTACTTGGGAGGCTGAGTTGGGAGGAATCGCCTGGGTCCAGGTGTTCAGAACCAGTCTGAGCAATATAGCAAGACTCTAGTTCTTCTGTTTTTTCTGGTCAGTCTTGGGGCTTGAACTCAGGGTCTGGGCACTGTCCTGAGCTTCTTTTATTCAAGACTAGCATTCTATCACTTGAGCCACAGCACCACTTCTGGTTTTTTGTGTGTATGTGGTACTGAGGAATCAAATCCAGGGCTTCATGGGTACTAGACAAGCACTCTACCACTAAGCCACCTTCCCAGCCACAAACCTAGCTTTATATATATGCATATATATATGTATATATATATATATATGCATATATATGTATATATGTGTACATATATATATATATACATTTTTTATTATTATCTTTAAGTAGTTGTACAAAGAAGTTCCCATTGGGGCTGGGAAGGTGGCTCAGTGGTAGAGCGCTTGCCTTGCATGCATGAGGCCCTGGGTTCCATTCCTCAGCACCATATAAGCAAAAAGAAAAAAGCCAAAAGTGGCGCTGTGGTTCAAGTGGTAGAGCACTAGCCTTGAGCTGAAGAGCTGAGGGACAGCGCCCAGGCCCAGAGTTCAGGCCCCACGACCAGACCCAAAAAACAAAACAAAACAAAGAAGTTCCCATTCTACAAAACAGTATATGAAGCCGGGCACCAGTGGCTCACACCTATAATCCTAGCTACTCAGGAGGCTGAGATCGGAGGATCATGGTTCAAAGCCAGCCAGCCCAGGCAGGAAAGTCCGTGAGCCTCTTACCTCCAATAAACCACTAGAAAACCAAAGTGAAGCTGTGGCTCAAGTGGTAGAGTGTTAGTCTTGAGCTGAAGAGCTGAGGGACAGGGCCCAGGCCCAGAGCAACAACAACAACAAACTACAAAAGAAAAAGTAGGAACTTGGGCCCGAGTTGGGTATACATGTAACTAACTCAGTGGCAAAAGTGCCTGCCTAGCACATCTCCAGCACGGAAAAAAATAATAACAATTTAAAGGAAAAAATGCTAGCTAGGCATCAGTGACTCACGCCTGCAATCCTAGCTGCTTGGCAGGCTAAAAGCTGTGGATCATAGTTCGAAGAAGCCCAGGTTGGAAGTGGAGCTATGGCTCAAGTGACAGAGCACCAGCCTGGAGCAAAACAAAACACAACACAACAAAACAAAAAAACGACAACTAAGGAGCAGCACCCAAGCCTAGAGTTCAAGCCCCAGTTGCCAGCACTAAAAACAAAAACCAACAACAACCAAGCAACAAATAAATAAAAAACAACCTGAATATATGAAATACCTGATGTGGGAGGCTTCTTTCTCTTATTCATTGTGTCTTCCTTGTGAAGTCTGAAAAGAATAAACAAAAGTCACTCCTTTTTTTTTTTTTTGGCCAGTCTGGGGCTTGAGCTTCTTTGGCTCAAGGCTGGCACTCTACCACTCAAACCAACCACCACTTCTGCCTTTTTCTGTGTCTGTGGTACTGAGGAATCGAACCTTGGGCTTCATGTATGCTAGGCAAGCACTCTGTCACTAAGCCACATCCCTAGCAGGACTTCTGTGCCTCACTCTGTCCCCAGCATCCTCAGCAGACAATAAAGGCTCCCCTCCTCCACCCAGCCAGCCACTCATGGGACACCTGGCCACAGCCTTGGGCCTTGGCCTGGTGGGAATTCAAGGCCCCTCCACACGGCAGAGATGGGGTGCCTATCTTCTGCTCAGGGTCAGATTCATATAAGCCCCAGGGGTGCCTCCATGGGAATTTCTGGCAACCCCTCTTGCAGTTTCTAGAGTGAAGCACACAACACTCCTCTCGACTGGGGCCTTGTCAGGAACACACGCATGATGGGCTTTTTTTTCTTTCTTTTTTTTTACTTCCGGTGCTGGTCCTGGGGCTTAAACTCAGGGTCTGCGTGCTGCCTCTGAGCTTTTGTGTCCAAGGCTAGCAGCACTCTACCACTTGAGCCATAGCTCCACTTCCAGCTTTTTGTGGTTAATCAGAGGTGAGTCTCCCGGGACTTTCCTGTCCTGTCCAGGCTGATTTTCAACTGTGACTCCTGAGTAGCTAGGATTATAGGTATGAGCCACGAGCATCTGGCTACATGAAGACTTTTTTTTTTTGGTGGGGGGGCAGTCCTGGTCTTGAACTCTGGGTCTGGGTACTGTCCCTGAGCCTCTTTGTGCTCAAGGCTAGCATTCTACCACTTGAGCCACAGCACCACTTTGGGCTTTTCCTGACTAGTCTGTTGGAGATAAGAATCTCACAGACTTTCTTGCCTGAGCTGTCTTTTTTTTTGCACCATTTCTAGCTTTCTGAGTGGTTTACTGGAGTCTTTATTGGACTTTCCTGCCAGGGCTGAATTTAAACCTTGATCCTCAGATCTCAGCTTCCTGAGTATCTAGGATGACAGGTGTGAGCCCCCGGGCTGTCTTTGAACTACGATCCTCAGATTTCAGTGAAGACTTTTGAGTTGCTATCAGGCACCCTACAAGTTATCTGGAGCTGCCAAAAGTGGCTCATGCGTGTAATCTTACTCTGGTTGCTAAGGTGTGACTTCAAGGGTGAAGGCAGTCTGCAGCAGAGATTCTTTTTTTTTTTCTTTTTGGTTGGTCGTGGGGCCTGAACTCTGGGCCTGGGCGCTGTCCCTCAGCTCTTCAGCTCAAGGCTAGTGCTCTACCACTTGAACCACAGCACCACTTCTGGCTTTTTCTGCTTATGTGGTGCTGAGGAATCGAACCCAGGGCCTCATGCATGCAAGGCAAGCGCTCTACCACTGAGCCACCTTCCCAGCCCAAGCCTATGAGATTCTTATCCCCAATTAACCAGCAAAAAGCCTGAAGTGGATCAGTGACTCATGTAGTAGAGCTCTAATCTTGAGCAAAAATGCTCAGGGAGCATTTTTGAACTCAGGCCCTGAGTTTGAGTCTCAGAGAAACACACACACACACACACACACACACACACACACACGAGCTTATCTGGGAGCTGGGCATGGAGCCACTATATCTGTGACCCCAGCATTTAGGAGGCTAAAGCAGGAGGATCACTAGTTCCAGGCCAGCCCGGGCTCCATCTGGAGACCCTATTTGAAAAAACAAAGTCAGGTGCACCCGTGGCTCAGGCCTGTTCTCCTAGCTGCTCAGGAAGATGAGATCTTAGGATTGGGGTTCAAAGCCAGCCCAGGCAGGCAAGTCTTTGAGACTCATCTCCAATGAACCAGCAAAAAGAAAAAAAAAAGAAAAAAAAAACCCAAAAACCCTGAAGCCTAGAGCAAAAAAATAAAACACAAAAACCCTCAGCCAGAGCACTGAGGCCCTGAGTGCAAGCCCCAGAACCAATCAAAAGGCAAAAGGAAGACCTGTGGGGGCCGCGGGGGACCCCCTGGGGTTCTTGGGTGGGGAGGAAGGTTTAAGGGACCCAGTTCTTCAGGTTATGGGGTCACACAAGCCAAAACACCGACCTGGACCCCAGAAATCGTCGCGGTCACTCCGTCCTTGGTGGCAACAACGTGGGCCAGGATCTGTGGGGGACAAGGCGCTTGAATTAATTAACTAATTAATTGCACTGCAGGTTTGGGGGTGGGGTGTTTGGGGGGCATGTTTTGGAGAAAAATGTCAGTAATGGGCCGTCCCGGAGACCCGGGAGCGGCGGCCCGGGCCCCGAGGCCCCAGCTCCCCACAACCCACAGCGACAACCTGGGAGAGCGGAAGACCCACACCCCGACCTCCAGAACCCGAGGCGCGACGCGGCGGCGGCGGCGGCGGCGCTGGGAGGGCTCCGTCGCCGCGCGTCCGCGCGCCTCACACCTCCGCGGCTGGCCCGCCGGCTTTCCCGCGCTCCTGCAGGCCCCGCCCACGCGCGCCGCTGAGCCCGCCCCTGGCGCCTGCGCATGCTCCGCCTCTCGCGGCGCAGCCCGCCGCAGTCTCTTCCCCCTGCCCCCACGGCCCCGCACACGCGCCTGCGCCTTCGGCGCCGTGCCTGCTGGGAGTTGTAGTTTCTTCACGGCGGGCCCGGCGAGCCCAGTGGCCGCGCGCGCTCCGGTGCGGCGGCACTCGGAGGCCAAGGCGGAAGTGGGGCGCCGAGGGCGCGGGATTGGCGGGCGCGGACCCCCCAGGAGGGACGTAGACCTCAGGAAGGACGACTGTGCGCGGCGACAGCCCACCGGGGAGGAGGCAGGGCCAGGCCAGGCGCGGCGTCCGGACATCTAGACTGGACCATGCACAAGAGAAAAGGACCCCCGGGACCCCCGGGCCGGGGCGCCGCCGCCGCCCGCCAGGTGAGTCTGCACCCTGGGGGTCATATTGGGGATCCCTCAGCACCCCCTTTACACATGCAGGGGAGGGCCCCACCCACCCAGGGAGCCCCGATCCCCGCCCCCCAGGTGAGCCCTGGCCCCGCCCCCCGCCCCAGGTGAGGCTTGGCCCATGCTTTATGGTGAGGCCTGTGGGCCCACGACACCCCAGCTCCTGGCACCCCGCCCTGGATACAGGTCAGGGCCACCTGTTGCTGGAGCTTCCAGGGAGGGGCCGCCATCCAACCTGCTCTGCCAGAGCTTGCAGCCACAAGGCCTGGTCACATTGTGTTACCATTGTACAGGTGGGGATACTGAGGCCCACAGGGAGATATCTGCCCAAGGTCACAGATCCCCGGGGGACTGCCAGATCAGAGCTGTATCCACGAGCCCACAGGACTGCGGCCGGCCGCTTTTACCTGGAGGAAGGGGGGTATGAGGGGGGGGCGTGGATTTTTTCTTCTTCTTCCATTTGATTGAGGGAGCCAGCCCAGAGCTTGGTGCTCAGATATTGATTAGTTTGTGCCCTGAAAATCCACTCTGGCCTCTGCCTACCTGCTGGACACTTGGCTTTATTATCACAAGCCTCAGTTTTCCTCATCTGTGGAATGGGACTCCCCCACCCCCCAAAAAAATTGCTACCTCACAGGACACTTGTGAAGATTTTTTTTTTTTTGGGGGTCCGGTCATGGAGCCTGAACTCTGGGCCTGGGCACTGTCCCTCAGCTCTTCAGCTCAAGGCTAGCGCTCTACTACTTGAGCCACAGCTCCACTTCCGGCTTTTTTCTTATGTGGTGCTGAGGAATCGAACCCAGGGCCTCAGGCATGCAAGGCAAGCACTCTACCACTGAGCCACCTTCCCAGCCCTTGTGAAGATTCTTTGAGATAATTGGTGGAAAGTACATGTTATCAGCATAACCCTCATTCCTGTTAGACAGAGCCAGGCCTACTCGATAATATGTGGCCAAATTTTGGAGAACAGAAAGGACAAATTCAACATCATGTTTTTACTTTTTTTTTTCTTTCTCAAGGCTGGCATTCTACCACTTGACCCACAGCACCACTTCTGGCTTTTTCTGTCTGTGTGGTACTGAGGAATGGAACCCAGGGCCTCATGCATGCTAAGCAAGCACTCTACCACCGAGCCACCTTCCCTGCCTTTACCTTTTTTTTTTTTTGTCGGTCATGGGGCTTGAACTCTGGGCCTGAACACTGTCCCTGCGTTCTTCAGCTCAAGGCGAGCACTCTACCGCTTGGGCCACAGCACCACTTCCGGTTTTCTAGTGGTTTTTATTGGTGATAAGACTCTCACGGACTTTCCTGCCTGGGCTGGCTTTGAACCTTGAGCCTCAGATCTCAGCCTCCTGAGTAGCTAGGATTACAACCTTTTTTTCTTTACCTTTTTTTCTTGTTACCCTTATGGGATTTCAACTGAGGCCTTGTGCTCGCCAGGCTGGCATGAAGCCACACCCCCTAATCCATACGATTGGTCATTAACCAAAATAGGAAGCCTGGTTGTCAACTGATTTATTTGCTGTCAAGACATCCATCCTCCCCCCACACTCAAAGAGGTTCACCACTGAGCCACACCTCTCGCCCTCCCAGGGCTTCCGGTTGCTTTTGATGCTCCAACCTTCCTGCCCATCCATCTGCCAAATATTCTAGAAGGAAAGACCAGGTGTGCAATGGCTTTGCCTGGGGCAGGCCGTAGAACCTGCTTTGCCCATGACCTTGGCTGGCATTGCATTCATTGTGTGGGGCGGCTGCATTTGTCTGCCTGCACTTTTTCTCATTCACTCTGTACCAAAGTGCGTCCTGCTCATTTCAAAACACCTGTTGCCCAACTCGCTGGCACTCCCCGGGGAAGCAGTGTGTCCTGGGAGAACTGGGTTCCTTCTTTACGGCTCCTCGTTCCATCATGGCTGCCTGTGGCCACGTGGCCCATCCCCATGGCTGAGTAGCTCCTCACTTTTCCCACAGCTGGGCCTACTGGTCGACCTCTCCCCAGACGGCCTCATGATACCAGATGACGGTGTTAACGATGAGGAGGTAGAGGCTGAGTTCTTGGCTTTGGTGGGGGAACAGCCCCAGGCCCTGGAGAAGCTCAAAGGCAAAGGTGAGGAGCTCATACATTGCCAACATCTTTGCATCTCCCGTTGAATGGGGCTCAGAGCTGGGCACTGGGTAGAAAAGCCAGGGGGGGACCAGTGCCGATGGCTCACGCCTGTCATCCTAGCTACTCAGGTAACTGAGATCTGAGGATCACGGTTCAAAGCCAGCCTGGGTAGGAAAGTCTGTGAGACTCTCCTCTCCAATTAACCACCAGAAAACCAGAAGTGACTCTGAGGCCCAAGTGGTAGAGTGCTTGCCTTGAGCTGAAGAGCTCAGGGACAGTGCCCAGGCCCCAAGTTCAAGCCCCATGGCTGACCAAAAAAGAAAAGAAAAAAGAGAGGCCAGGTGGGTAACAACAGAGAAGGCCCTGCCTGATGGACCCTATAATCTGGGTAATAGGCTCTACGATCAACTGTGGACAAAAATGAGGGTTTAGGCACTTCTAGAGTTTCTATAGCACATCCCAAGGACTACAGGACCACACATCATACTTAGGATGTCACCAGTCCAGACCTGTGTCACCTGCCTCCTTTTGTCAGTGCTGGTATGGTGGAGCACAGAGCCAGGCTGGACTCATGAAGGGAACACCCACTTCTAAGAGAGGGTCAGAGCAGGTGCAAAGGCCCTGGGGTAGATGGCAGGAGACAGAGCACTCTGCAGTGGTTGAGGGAGTTAAAACCTAGAGGCCAAAGCAAGCCTTTCAATATGTTACTAATACAGGCTAGTCTCCTTATTTGTGGATTTCAAGCCACAGCTCCACTATAAGCTTTAGAGTGGTTCACTGGAGATAAGAGTTTCAGTGGGTGGGCTGGGAATGTGGCTTAATGGTAGAGTGCTTGCCCAGCATGCATGAAGCCCTGGGTTCGATTCCTCAGTACCACATACACAGAAAAAGCCAGAAATGACACTGTGGCTCAAGTGGTAGAGGACTAGCCTTGAGCATAAAGAGGCTCAAGGACTTCGCCCAGGCCCTGAGTTCAAGCTCCACAACCTACAAAAGAAAAAAAAAAATGTGTTTAACCAGAGAACCACATAAAGCAAGGCTGTATATTAATCAATTGTGACCAGCCGAGTGTAAGTGGCTCACACCTGTAATCCTAACTATTGCAGAGACTGAAATCTGAGGATTGTGGTTCGAAGCCAGCCCAGGCAAGAAAGTCCATGAGACTCTTATCTCCAGTGAACCAGCAAAAAAAAAAATAGCCAAATGTGGAACTATGGCTCAAGTGGTAGAGCACTAACTTTGAGTGAAAATGCTTTTGGATAGCACCCAAGCCCTGAGTTCAAGATCCAGGTCTGGCCAAAAAAAATCCACAGAACAGGAGTAAGGAAGAGGGTGGTGTGGGAGGGTAGACTGAGTCTGTATTGTGTGGAAATGCTGCAGGACACATAGAAAGAATTCCCATGTCCAGAGGGTTCGATACTGTGAGGTTTCAGACATCCGCTGGGGTATGGGACACAGTGGCCTCTGTGGATCCATGAGAAGCCATTATCCCATGTTCACCGAGGGGAAACTGAGTCCCAGAGAGGTGAAGTTTGAGCTCTGGATGCTTGAAGTGGGATAAGGAACAGCTGAGTGGGGGTGATGGATTTTTTTTGGGGGGTGGGAGCTGGGAAGGGGACCTGCAGCTCCTTTGCTGGCCACCCTGTTCTTGGGGTGCCCGGGGTGCTAGGGTGGGGAGCTGGAGGCTCTCGGTGGAGGCTGGCACAGCAAGGCCTCTCCCTGCACTGCCAGGCCCGCTGCCTATGGAAGCAATCGAGAGAATGGCCAGGCTGTGCATGAGAGACCCGGATGAGGAGGAGGAGGAGACAGATGACGACGTGGAGGCCGATGATGACCTGCTGGTGAGCCCCCAGCCTCCGGGACGGGGGGGCCTGACCCCCAGACCTCACCCCCCCCACCCCCCCCCCGTGCAGCCGGCTCTCATGTCCCACCCTGGCCTGCGTCTGTCCCCGCAGGCAGAACTCAATGAAGTCCTGGGAGAAGAACAGAAGGCCGTGGAGCCCCCGCCAGCCGTGGCCCAGGTACAGCTCCCTACCCTACCCCCCTCCCAAGTCCTGGGGCTCACCCCTGTCTATCTCTCTGGGGCAGTTGACATGATAACCCCAACTTCCATATCCTCCCCCAGAGATGGGGGTTTCTGCCTTGCTGGGGTAGGGAAGGCTAGATTCAGGGTGGCCTGTCTGTATGGGAAGCCATCGCCACCCAGATTGTGCTCACCCCCACCCCCTGTCCCTCCCACAGCCGAAGCCCTCAGCCCCCCACCCTGGGGTGGAGGCCACCCTGCAGGAGAGGCTCGCCCTCTACCAGTGCGCCATCGAGGGCGCCCGGCAAGCGGGGGACAGCGCCAAGGTGCGGCGCTATGACCGCGGGCTCAAGGTGAGTGAGCAAAGTGTAGGGGTCCCCGTGACGACCCCCCCCAGGGGCACCTCCCTTCTCCTGAGCCCATTTACGTGTCCGTTGCAGACTCTGGAGGACCTGCTGGCCGCCGTCCGGAAGGGCAGTGCCATCGACGAGGGGGACATCCCCCCGCCCGTGGCTGTGGGCAAGGGTCCGGGAAGCACGCCCAGCCACACCCCTGCACCCCCCCAGCCAGCCCCAGAGCCCCAGCCCCCCCTGCCGGGGCCCCCTGTCATGGCCCCAGTGCTGGCTTCCTGCTCCTCCACACCCCAGCTCCCATCAGGTAGGCAGGGGACACAGCCAGGGGACACGAGCAGAGCCCAGGCAGAGGAGCCGTATTCAGGAAGGGCCAGGAGGTGCTAGTGAGCCGCTCATGTCTGTAATCCCAGCTACTCAGAAGCTGAGAGGGGGATCCCATTTCCATGCTCAGTCCAGGCAGAAAAGCCAAGAGATTCCATCTCTACAGAAGAAGCTGGGCATGGGTAGCACGCAGCTCTGACAGCAAGCCCAGATAGCTGTATGACAGCCCAAGACCCTGAGTTCAAACCCAGTACCTCCCCAAAAAGGGGGGGAAGGAGGAGGGGAATGCTGCAGAGGGGTTGGGAACTGGATGTTGAATGGAGACAGCTTCAGTTGGAGATAAGAAAGTTCTAGAGGGGCTGGGAAGGTGGCTCTGTGGTAGAGCGCTTGCCTTGCATGCATGAGGCCCTGGGTTCGATTCCTCAGCACCACATAAGCAAAAAGAAAAAAAGAAGCTGGAAGTGGCGCTGTGGCTCAAGTGGTAGAGTGCTAGCCTTGAGCTGAAGAGCTGAGGGACAGCGCCCAGGCCCAGAGTTCAGGCCCCACGACCGGACCCCTCCCCCCAAAAAAGAAAGGTTTAAAGATCTCTAGAATTCTTTTATTGACAAAACTCCAGGGGCGCAAGAACCTTCCAGACCTTGGGTGGAAGCCCACAGTGCGGGCCACAGGCTGTGTGGTCCTGGGGAAGCGGCCACCCTCTCTGAGCTGTTGGCACCACACAGCCTTGGCTGTGAGAATTAAGGAGGCCTGGTTTGGGTGGTACAGGGAGCTGGGCCTGGGAGCTTTCCTGCCCCGTCTGCCCCCCCAGGTCCCTGCAGCCCCCTGGCTCAGCTGCAGAGTCGCCAGCGTGAGTACAAACTGGCCGCGCTCCACGCCAAGCAGCAGGGGGACACCGCCACGGCCGCCAGGCATTTCCGCGTGGCCAAGGTGGGGGGGGGACACTGACGTGGGGGACACTGGGGGGGGGTTGGGAGGGAGGGGTGCCGGACAGAGGGGAGGACAGGGAGCTTCCACACCTACATCTGAGCCCCGGCTTGGGCACACGCTAGGCCCTCAGTTTACTACCTGGGGGGGAAGGGGGTCACCCTGGGAAGAGGGTGGATAGGAACAGGGTGCACGGTCCCCCCTGGGGTCCTCGCCCCAGCTCTGGCCTCTCCCTCCCTCTGCTGATCTCCCTTCTTTCTCCCAGAGCTTTGATGCCGTCTTGGAGGCTCTGAGCCGAGGGGAACCCGTGGACCTGTCCCGCCTGCCCCCTCCACCTGGTGAGGTCACGGCCCCCCCAGGCCTGCGCCGGCCCCACTGACGCTGCAGCCCTCGCCGGCCAGTCCTGACCAGCCTAAGGCGGGGAGGGGGCAGCGGGGCGCGCCAAGCAAACTCCCCCTCTGTCTCCAGACCAGCTACCCCCAGACGCCCTATCTCCGACGCCACAGGCATCGACACCCATCGCCGGGCCCCCAGTGCCAGGTAGGCCGCCAGGCCCCCGGGGATGGACAGGCTGGGGGGACTCCCTTCCCCAGACCCTTCACCCCGCCCGCCCCTTCCTGCCCAGAGGTCCTCGCGCCCCCGAGGACTCTCTTGGAGGCGCTGGAGCAGCGGATGGAGCGGTACCGCGTGGCCGCGGCCCAGGCCAAGGCCAAGGGTGACCAGCGCAAGGCGCGCATGCACGAGCGCATTGTCAAGGTGTGTGTGTGTGGGGGGGGAGGGACGGGGGAGGTGGAGGGCCAAATCGGGGGGACCTGGCCTTTCCTGGGTCCCCCTCATACCTGTGTGTCCCCAGCAATACCAAGATGCCATCCGAGCGCACAAGGCCGGCCGAGCCCTGGATGTGGCTGAGTTGCCGGTGCCCCCAGGTAGGCCACGCCCCTCAGGTCCTGGATCCGCCCCTCAGGCCACGCCCCTGCAGCCAGGTCCTGGATCCACCCCTCAGGCCACGCCCCTGCAGCCAGGTCCTGGATCCACCCCCTCAGGCCACGCCCCTGCAGCCAGGTCCTGGGTCCGCCCCCTCAGGCCACGCCCCCGCAGTCAGGTCCTGGGTCCGCCCCCTCAGGCCACGCCCCTGCAGTCAGGTCCTGGGTCCGCCCTCTCAGGCCACGCCCCTGCAGTCAGGTCCTGGGTCCGCCCCCTCAGGCCACGCCCCCGCAGCCAGGTCCTGGGTCCGCCCCCTCAGGCCACGCCCCTGCAGTCAGGTCCTGGGTCCGCCCCCTCAGGCCACGCCCCTGCAGTCAGGTCCTGGGTCCGCCCCCTCAGGCCACGCCCCTGCAGTCAGGTCCTGGGTCCGCCCTCTCAGGCCACGCCCCTGCAGCCAGGTCCTGGGTCCGCCCTCTCAGGCCACGCCCCTGCAGCCAGGCCCTGGGTCCGCCTCTCCAGCCATGCCCTTCCTCCTCTCCTCTCCTCCTGCGCCAGGCTCCACTATCAGATTTCCATCACTTGGAGACTCTTCTTGTCCCCTTTGTCCTACTCCATCCTCCCTAGTTCACAGGACAGGACTTTCCAGAGCTTTGCTCAGCCTCTTCCCCAGTCTCCACCCCCCCCCCCAACGGAGAACAGTACTGCTGGGTCTTTGGCCCTCGTTTATCCGGGAGCCCCTCCAGCTCTCTCGGCACCCCTCCCCACACAGGGGACACCCAGGGCCTCCCTTCAAGGGCGGTCAGCACCTGTATGGAATAGGCAAAGCCCTGGCTTCCGTCCCTCCATACCACAAGCTCCACTAACTATGACTCCTAGCCAACACGGTGACTCACACCTATAATCCTAGCTACTCAGGTTGAAGTCCAGAGGATTGTACTTCAGAGTCAGCCCCAGGCAGAGAAGTCAGTGAGATTCCCATCTCCAGTTAAGCAACCAAAACACACAAGGCTGGAGGGATGACTCAGGTGGTAGAGTACCAGCCCAGCAAGGAAGATTAGCAAAGCATGAGGCTCTGAATTCACCGCCCCCCCCTCCCTCAGGTGGGGAGGTACACACCGACCCCCATGACAGTGGGGACCCCTCCTGACTCGACCCCCATCTGGCCGCCCAGGGTTTCCTCCAATCCAGGGCCTGGAGACCGCAGAGCCTGCCCAGCAGAGCCTGGTTGGGGTCCTGGAGACTGCCATGAAGCTGGCCAATCAGGATGAAGGTCTGGAGGATGACGAGGAGGAGGGGCCTTCGAAGGTGAGAGGGCGTGGTCTGGACTGAGGAGGGAGGGGCAGGTGCAAAGCCACAAATCCCTCTCCCCTTCCCCCACAAATATGGAGCCCAGAGCCGGCAGTGAAGGGATGTAGGCCTGGTGAGGACCTTTGGGGGTGCTACGGCGTCTGGGAGAAAGGCCCGCAGGGGTGTCGGATGCTAGGACACAGACCCCCCCCCAAGGGTCCTCACTATTGGGGACAGGCCCTCACCTGACAGGGATGCTTTCCTGCTGCTGGCAGTGACTTCTCTCTGTCACTTAGCAGCAAAACAGCCCTGCGGCCCCCACAGCCCAGTCCAAGGCCCCACCTTCCAGGGCCCCCCAGTCGGGATCAGCCAAAGCAGCTCCCAAAGGCACGACCACCAGAGGTAAGCATCCCCACCCTCACCCCGCTGTCCGGCCACAGTGGGGTGCGCAGCCCCTGCAGAGCCCCTGTGCCCTCAGCCCAACAGCAGCTGGCTTTCCTGGAGGGCCGCAAGAAGCAACTCCTCCAGGCAGCACTGCGGGCCAAGCAGAAGAACGACGTGGAGGGCGCCAAGATGCACCTGCGCCAGGCCAAGGGGCTGGAGCCCATGCTGGAGGCCTCCCGCAACGGGCTGCCTGTGGACATCGCCAAGGTGAGCCGCCCAGGTGCTCCTGAGCTGCCTGTGGTGTATTAGTCAGGACCTGGCCCAAGCTCCTGTAACAAACAGGCCTTCCTCAGCACAGCAGCTGACCCCAGAGAGACTGGTCACGGGAGACCCTCTCAGGACAGCCTGGGCCCCGTCCACAGCCCCAGGTTCCTTCCAGCTTGTTGCTCTGCCAAGGGCCATTCGAATATTTGTGCCATCAGTCCAGGACTGCAAGAAATGATCAGGACAAACAGGCCACGTGATCCAAATGGGTCACTGACTGCCGTGTGGCCTCCCATCCCCGGGAAGAGTTGAGAGGGGAAAAGGTACCACCAGTCCTTTCAAGGAAGTGATGTCACTTTTGCTCATCTCCTATTGGCCAAAAGTAGACACGTGGCCTCAATTCACTGCAAAGGAGTCTGGGTCATGTAGTTCTGCACAGCTGTGCAACCCTTTCAGACATTTGTTTGAACACAGCAGACAAAAATCCCCATGCTGGGGCTGGGAAGGTGGCTCAGGGATAGAGTGCTTGCCTTGCATGCATGAGGCCCTGGGTCCGATTCCTTAGCACCACATACACAGAAAAAGCTGAAAGTGGGTGCTATGGCTCAAGTGGTAGAGTGCTAGCCTTGAGCTGAAGAGCTCAGGACAGTGCCCAGGCCAAGAGTTCAAGCTCCACGACCAGCAAAAAAAGAAAAAAAAAAAAAAGAAAAATCCCCATGCTGGGGCTGGGAAGGTGGCTCAGTGGTAGAGCACTTGCCTTGCATGCATGAGGCCCTGAGTTCGATTCCTCAGCACCACATAAGCAGAAAGAAAAAAGCCGCAAGTAGCACTGTGGCTCAAGTGGTAGAGCACTCGCCTTGAGCTGAAGAGCTGAGGGACAGCGCCCAGGCCCAGAGTTCAAGTCCCAGGACTGGCCAAAAAAAAAAAAAAATCCCCATGCTTCTGGAAAGATATTCTGGTTTGTTCTAGAAACACTCAAATACAGGCCCTTGATTGCATGGTCTGCCCCGTTACCGCTCTTTCTTGTTTTCCTCCCCCTTTGCACCTGCGATCCTCCGTCTTTGGAGCATTCCCTAGCTTCCTGATGGGCTCCCTCACCTCAGCGAGGCCTGCTCCAAACTCCTGTGTCATATCCCTTCCTGTAACTCTGCCCTGTACCCCCTGCTCCCCAGCTTTCCTCGGCATTTGTCCTCTTCAGCTATAGCACACGGGTCGTTTCCTTAGTCTTCTGAGCCAGAGTCTTTCTATGTAGCCCAGGCTGGCCTTACTATCATCCTCTTGCTTCAGCCTCTTGCTGGGATTACAGGCATGCACTACCACGCTGGGCTTCACATCAGCGCAGGGCCTTGGCTGTTTGTCACTGCTGTGTCACCAGCTTGCGTGTACACAGACTCAAACTATGGCGGGTGACTGCGGGGGGTGGGGGGGGGGGGCGCCATGTAGTACGGTGGAAAATCCAGAGCCACAAGGCGGATTGGTGGGGAGGGGGGGACGGGGGACGGTGGTGGCCCTCCCTGCTAGAGCCTCCCCCTCCCCAGGTGCCACCTGCCCCGGTCAGCAAGGACGACTTCGCGCTAGTGCAGAGGCCCGGGCCTGGCCTGTCCCAGGAGGCTGCCCGGCGCTACGGGGAGCTCACCAAGCTGATCCGGCAGCAGCACGAGGTGAGGCCCCGTGGCAGGTGCCCAGGCGCCCCAGCACCCCGCCTCCCCGCCCACCTCCCTGTTCTCTCTGCCTCCAGATGTGTCTCAACCATTCCAACCAGTTCACCCACCTGGGCAACATCGCTGAGACTAGCAAGTGAGCAGCCCCGCCTCCCACCCTGCCACACCCTCTCCCTGTCCAGCCCAAGGCCCGGGACCTGAAGGGGGCGCTCTGGCACGCAGGTTTGAGAAGCTGGCGGAAGACTGCAAGCGGAGCATGGAGATGCTGAAGCAAGCCTTCGCCCGCGGGCTGCCCACTCCTGCTGCCCGCTTTGAGCAGAGAACCTTCAACGTCATCAAGTAGGGTTCCCTGGAGGACACCCCCCCCCCAAAGTGTTTGGGTGGGTGGTGATGTGCTAAGGCCCTGGGGCAGGCATGCAGCTTGAACCAAGGGACATTTTGGGAAGATGTAGGAGTATTAAGCTTGTTCACTCAAGTTTGGTGCTCTACCACTCGAGCCACAACTCCTATGGTTTTTTGGCAGTTAATTGGAGATGAGTCTCCTGGCCTTTCCTAGCCAAGATGGCTTTGAATTTCAGTCTTCTAGATTTCAGCCTCCTTAGTAGCTAGGATTACAGGCATGAGTCTATGCACCTGACTTCGTGTGTGTGTGTGTGTGTGTGTGTGTGTGTGTGTGTGTGTGTGTGTTGCTAAGGATGGCACCCAGGCCTTTGTGTGCCAGTGCTCAGCCACCGAGCCACACTGCCACAGCCACTGCTCTGACCACAAGTGGAAAGCAGCCTGATGAGACCGCTGTTGCAGTTCTGAGCAGAGTTGCTCTGCTCCTCTGCTGGCGTGGCCCTGAGCGTCATAGCTGGACTTGAGCACAGGGAGAGGTCACCCGTGTGCTCCTGGGTCCCCTCAGCGGGGACACAGACTGGTGCATAGCACAACTCAAGAAATAGGGCTGAGGGGCTGGGAAGGTGGCTCAGTGGTAGAGCGCTTGCCTTGCATGCCTGAGGCCCTGGGTTTGAGTCCTCAGCACCACATAAGCAGAAAAAGCCGGAAGTGGTGCTGTGGCTCAAGTGGTAGAGCACCAGCTGAGGAACAGCACCCAGGCCCAGAGTTCAGGCTCCACGACCCCCCCCAAAAAAGAAAAGAAAGGTGAAGGCCAGTGCCTGACCCCCCGCCCTCCACCGAGGGACACAAGGGGCAGGTGGGGCATGGGCTGAACCCCTGCCTGGGTCTCCCTTCTGCCCACTAGGATCTTCCCGGACCTCAGCAGTAACGACATGCTGCTGTTTGTGGTGAAGTGCATCAACCTGCCCACGCCCCCAGGTGAGGGGCGGGGGGCAGGCGAGGGGGCGGAGTTGTGGGCGGGGCCTGGGATATGAGGTAGGGCCAGTGGGTGTTGGGGCGGGGCTGGGAGGCAAGATGGGCGGGGCCTGGGAGTGAGGGGTAGGCGGGGTGCAGGCTGGTGGGCGGGGCCTTGCTCGATGGGGGGCAATGGGCGGGGCCAGGAAGGCCACCTCTGCCCTTCTGTGTCCACAGGGCTGTCCCCAGGAGACCTGGATGTCTTTGTCCGCTTCGACTTTCCTTACCCCAATGTGGTAGGTGGGGACCCAGCGTGGGGATCCCCGGGGAGGGGCGGGAGGAAGTTCCTGGCGGGGCTCGCAGCCCCTCATCTTTCCTGACTCCTCTCCATCCAGGAGGAAGGTCAGAAGGACAAGACGGGCGTCGTCAAGAACACAGACTCTCCGGGTGAGCTGGCAGAGGGACAGGACACAGTGGACAGGAGGCGGGGGGGGGGGGGGGACCCCGCGGGGTGCGGGGCTGGAAATCGGGAGGATCGCGGGGGCTCACGCCTGTCACCCTGGCTACTGAGGGGCTGAGATCTGAGGTTCTGGGGCGCCCTCCCCCTCCTAGAATTCAAGGAACAGTTCAAGCTGTGCATCAACCGCACGCACCGCGCGCTCCGCAGGGTCATTCAGACCAAAGGCATCAAGTTTGAAGTGGTCCACAAGGGGTGAGCGAGGACACGGGTGCGGGGCGGGCTCCCCGGTGGGGGGGACACGGGACCCACCGCCTCCGGCTTCCCCCTCCCCCTCCCCCTCCCCACAGGGGCCTGTTCAAGACTGACCGGGTGCTGGGCACGGCCCAGCTCAAGCTGGAGGCGCTGGAGACGGCCTGCGAGGTCCGGGAGGTCCTGGAGGTGAGAGCCCCCACCCCTGGGGGGGCCCCAGCCCTCCCAGCCCTCCCCCCTTATTCTCCCGGTCCCACCCTCCGCCCTTCCCAGGTCCTCGATGGCCGCCGGCCTACCGGGGGGTCACTCGAGGTGATGGTTCGAATCCGGGAGCCCCTGACGGCGCAGCAGCTGGAGACGACCACGGAGCGGTGGCTGGTCATCGACGCCGTGCCCCCTGTGAGCCCCTCGGCCGGTGGGGCGGGGGGGGGGGACCCCAGGGAACCCGCCTGCCACTGGCTGCCCCTCTGCCCTGAAGCAGGTCGCTGCGCTCAAGGCCAAGGCGCCGCCCGTCCCTGCCGCTGCCAGAGACCCCGGGACCAGGTAGACGCTGCCCGGCCCCCACCGCTGTCCGCAGCCCGCTGTCCCCAAACGCTCCTCCACACTGAAGACCGGTCATCTCACCAGGATCCCGCCCCTTCCTCCCTCCTCCGCTGTCCACTGCCCTCCTTCCCTCCCTCCCTCCCTCCTTCGTTCCTCCTTCCTTCCCCCCTTCCTTCCCTCCTTCCTTCCTTCCCTCCTTCCCTCCATCCCTCCCTCCTTCCCTCCTTCCTTCCTTCCCTCTCTCCCTCCCTCCTTCCTTCCCTCTCTCCCTCCCTTCTTTCCTCCCTCCCTTCTTCCTTCCTTCCTCCCTCCATTCTTCCTTCTCTCCTTTATTCCTCCCTTCTTTCTTCTTTCTCTCCTTCCTTCCCTCTTTCCCTTGTTCTTTCCCTCCTTTCTTTTTTCTCTCCATCCTTCCTCTGATTCTTTCCTCCTCCCTCCATTCTTCCTTCTCTCCTATTTTTCCTTCATTCCTCTTCCCTCTTTCTTCCTCCCTCCCCTCCTTCTTCTCTCTTTCCCTCCTTTCCGTTTTTCCCCCATCCACCCTCTCCGATCCTTCCTTTCCCCTCCCTCTCTTCCTCCCTTCCTTCCCTTCCTTCCTCCTCTCCTTCCTTCCTTCACTAGGCTGCGGTGCAACCTCCCGTGCACCTGCTCCTCCCCCACCTCCTCCACCCCGGGTGTGGTGTACCCAGTTCATGGGGTGGGGGTCCCCGCGGCTCCTCACCCTTCCCCGCTCCGTGCCGCAGGTCCTCGAGGCCCCTGCACAGCCTCAGCGTGCTGGCCTTCGACCAAGAGCGCCTGGAGCGGAAGGTGGGGAGCGAGCGCCCTGGGCTCTTTGGGCCAGTCGGGGCCTGGCTGGGCCTGGCCGGGAGGGGCCTGGCGGGGCGGGGCCTGACGGGGAGGGGAGGGGCCTGATTGGGCCTGGTGGGCAGGGGCCTGGAGGGGCGGGGCCTGATGGGGCTGGGCCGGGCGGGGCCTGATGGGGATGGGAGGGGCCTGATGGGGCTGGGTGGGGCAGGGCCTGATGGGGAGGGGAGGGGCCTGGTGGGGAGGGGCGGGGTCTGATGGGACGTGGCCTGGTGGGGCGGGGCCTGGTGGGAAGGGGCGGAGTCTGATGGGATGGGGCCTGGTGGGGCGGGGCCTGATAGGGAGGGGTGTGGCCTGGAGGGGCGCGGCCTGGCGGGTGGGGCGGGGCCTGGAGGGGCGGGGCCGGGTCTGGCCCCGCCTCACGCGCAGGCGCGCCCCGCAGATCCTGGCCCTGCGGCAGGCGCGGCGGCCGGTGCCCGCGGACGTGGCGCAGCAGTACCAGGACGTCGTGCAGCGCAGCCAGTGGCAGCGGGCGCAGCTGGAGCAGGGCGGCGCCGCGCTCCGCCGGGGTAGGAGCTGGGGGTGGGGGAGGCACAGGGCTGGGGGTCGGGAGGGGGCACCCTGCCTCTGACGCCCCGCCATCCCCAGAGTACGCGAGCCACCTGGAGCGCCAGCTGCAGTTCTACACCGAGGCCGCCCGGCGCCTGGGCTACGACGGCAGCAGGGTGAGGCGGGCAGGGGCGGGGCCGCCGGGCGGGGGGGACGCTGGGGGGCCGGCCCGGCCCGCTGACACCCCCCCCCGACCCCCAGGAGGCTGCCAAGGAGGCTCTGTACAGGCGGAACCTGGTGGAGAGCGAGGTGAGTGGAGGGGTGCGGGGCGGGTGCGGGGCGGGCCTGGGGCGGGGGCGGGGCGGCGCGGGGCGGGGGCGGGGCAGGCGCGGGGCGGGGGCGGGGCGGGCCTGGGGCGGGGGCGGGGCGGCGCGGGGCGGGGGCGGGGCAGGCGCGGGGCGGGGGCGGGGCGGGCCTGGGGCGGGTGCCGGGCGGCACGGGGGCAGCGCGGGGCGGCGCGGGGCGGGTGCGGGGCGGCGCGGGGCGGGGGCGGGGCGGGGGCGGGGCAGGGCAGGTGCGGGGCAGGGCAGGTGCGGGGCAGGCGCGGGGCAGGCGCGGGGCAGCACGGCCGGGACAGGGCGCCGCCTTGCGAGGGAGGCCTCACCCCTAACCTCTCCCCAGTTGCAGCGGCTCCGCAGGTGAGGCCCGACGGGGCGGCCCGGAGCCCACGGCAGACAATCAGCGGACAATCGATCTAGACTCGGCCCCCTCCAGTCCCCCCCCCCCCTCTGCCCCAGCCTGGCCGGGGTGCCTGGACCTCACCCCCGGCCCCCAAGTCCTGTTTGCACACCCCGGGGTCGGGCTCTGTCTGGCCCGCCCTGGACCAAACCCCCGGGGCCTCCGCGAGCACTTTACCTCCCATCTCTCCCGGGCCTTAACCCTGCAGCCCTCCCACACCCCAAAGAAGCCACTGGGGGGGGACCCCGGGGTGGGGGGCTGCGGCTGCCCAGCTGGGCCCCCGGCCTACGTGTGGAATAAACAGAGGGTCACACCCAGCGGGCTCTGTGGTGTTTGTTTCTTGTTCTGGGCTGTCCCCCCAACCCCACTGCCCACCCCAGGGGGAACAGAAAGGGGGTGCCCCCACTCCTGAGTTCTATGTCTATCTTATGTTCTGTTTTTGTGCCAGGCCTGGGGCTTGAACTCAGGCCTTGGGCGCTGTCTCTGAGCTTTTTAGCTGAAGGCTGGCGCTCTGCCACTTGAGCCACAGCTCCACTCCCATCTTTTTGCTGGTCCATTGGAGATAAGAGTCCCACAGATTTCCCTGCCCAGAGCTGGCTTCAGCCTGTGATCCTCGGACCTCAGCCTCCTGAGTGGCAGAAATGACAGGCGAGAACCTCAGGCGTGGGCTGATTTGTCATCCTGATGCCTGTGGGTGGCCCTGGAAGTTTGGGGTTCACAAGGAGGCTGGGTCATCGGTGCTGCTCCCTGGTGGCCTGGGGTGTCGGGAGCGCGCTGCGCGTGGCTGGCGTGGGGCCGAGGGCGGCATCCGGACCAGGACGTGCTCCGGGTTCCCCGCCGTGTCCACCACGCGCAGGTGCCTGAGCCCCACAAAGGCCTCGGCCGAGATGCTGGTCAGGTGCAGCCTGTTGTCTCTGCAGAGACAGAGTGGTGTGAGGAGATGGGGTGACGCGAGGCCATGGCCCCGGTGGATGCCCCCCCCCAACCCTCCCCATCTTGCTGCACCTGAGGAAGAGGGTGCGCAGGCGCGGCGTGCTCAGGAAGGCCTCGGGGCCCACGTGGCCGATGCGGTTGCCCTGCAGGTGCAGCTCCTCCAGCGCCTCGGGCAGGTCCGGGGGCACAAAGGACAGCGCGTTGTGGCTCAGGTCCAGCACCTGGCAGGACACAGCACCATGGCCGCGGCCAGCCTCAGGCCCCTCCCTCCCACCCCATCATGGGGGACAAATTCCCCACTCAGGTAAAATGAGTTCCTTCCTCTGGTGGGTCCCCTGTCCTGGGCATTCTTGCCATCCTGCCAATCCCCAGAGGTTCCCCCTCCCCCCCCCCCCCCCCCCCCCCGGCCCCCAGTAATCCACACTGGTCTCCTCCTGCTTAAGCTTTCCAAGGCCTGGGATTCCAGGTAGGCGCCACCACACCCAACTACTCTCCTTTGCTAAGGGCAGGGATTACAGGTAGGCATAACTACTCTCCCCTGACAGCAGCTATTTGCCTCTGCTCCCCTCTTCTCCAGGATGTATTTTTCCATGGAGTCTCAGGGTGGTGGCGGGACAGGGACAGCCCTGAACCCGCCTGCCCCTGACCTGGAGCGCCGGCAGCTCGTGCCAGGTGCCCGGCCCGATGTCCCCGAGGCGGAGCCGGTTGTGTGCCAGGCTGAGCTCCCGCAGCTGGGCCAGGCCGGCCAGCGGCTCGGGCTCCAGGGCCCGCAGCTGGTTGCGGGGCAGGAGCAGCACACGCAGGCTGGCGGGCAGCCCCGCGGGCAGCCGGCTCAGCTGGTTGCCAGCCAGGTCTAGGCTGTGCAGGGCGCTCAGGGGGCGCAGGGCGCGGTGGTGCAGGCCGGCGCTGGTCAGGCGGTTGTAGGCCAGGTTGAGCTCGCCTAGGCCGGGCGTGGCTGCCAGATCCCGGGCGCCCAGCGTGGCCACGCGGTTGTGCGGCATCACCAGGGCCCGCAGTCTGCGGGGCAGGCCTGGGGGCACGCGCTCCAGCTTGTTGCCATAGAGGTGCAGTGTGTGCAGTTTCCGCAGAGGCCGCAGCGCCTTGGGGGGCAAGCCTGAGCCCCCCAGCTCATTGTGTTGGAGCAGCAGATACCTCAGGCCCCGCGCCCCCTTTAGCCGGGCAGCTTCCACTCGCTGGATGCGGTTCCGACCCAAGTGCAGCACGGCCAGGGTCCGGGGCAGGCCGGCGGGCACTGCCCTCAGCTGGTTGTAGGAAAGGTCCAGATACTCCAAACTGTGCAGCTTGCTGTGGGGAGAAAGGGGGTTCCGGGGCTCAGAGGGAGGCCCAAGGTGGGTCATGACGAGTAGGCCTGATGTGGATTTGGTGGTGGTGGTGGTAGTGGTGGTCCCCAGTCTTGAACTCAGGGCCTGAGCACTATTGTGCTCAAGGGGAGCACTCTACCACTTTGAGCCACGGCACCACTTCAGGTTTTCTGAGTGGTTCAATGGGGATAAGAGTCTCACAGGACTTTCCTGCCCTGACCACCTTCAAACCCCATCTACAGATCTCAGCCTGGGATGACAGGTGTGAGCCACCAGCGCCCAGCCCTGTGGAAGCCAGGTAGGGTAGTGCAGACCTACAATCCCAGCTCATCAGGAGGTGGAAGCAGGAAGATCACCAGTGTGAGGCCAATCCCCAATAAGGAAACGGAAGTCCCAGGCCTAAAGTGTGAATCCTGGGTCCCTCCTGCTAGCATGGGCCTGCACCCCGGTACCCCAAAGCCCGCATGGCCCCCCACCCCCACCTGAAAGTGGTGGCATCCAAACTGCTGTCTGTCAACTGATTGTGCTGGAGAAACAGTTCACGGAGGCAGGTCTGACGGCTCAGGGCTCCCCGGGGCACTTTAGAGATGAGGTTGTTCTGGAGAAGAGTGAAAGGGATGAGACAAGAAAGTCTTCGGTAGCCGGCACTCATGGCTCCCGCCTGTCATCCCAGCCACTCAGGAGGCTCAGCTCTGAGGATTGCGGTTCAAAGCCAGCCCAGGCAGGAAATTCTATGAGACTCTTTTTTTGTTGGTGGTGGTGGTGATGGTCATGGGGCTTGAACTCTGGGTCTAGGTGCTGTCCTTCAGCTCTTCAGCTCAAGGCAAGCGCTCTACCGTTTGAGCCACAGCACCACTTCTGGTTTTCTGGTGGTTCGTTGGAGATCAGAGTCTCATGGACTTTTCTGCCCGGGCTGGCTTTGAACCATGATCCTCAGATCTCAGCCTCCTGAGTAGCTAGGATGACAGGCGTGAGCCACCAGCGCCTGGCTTCTATGAGACTCTTATCTCCAGTGAAGCACCCAAAAACCCCGCAGAGTTGTGGGGGAGGCTCAGGAGTCAGGAGTGCCTAGAAGCATGTGTTATTCAAGCAAGACAATGGAAGGGACTGACAGCAATCTCATTGAGACTGCTGGAGATCTGGGGGTAGGTTGGAAAGTGAGAAGGAAGGGACCCCCCCCAGAAGCAGCAGGGGGGCATGAGGGGCACCTGTAGATGAAGACGCTCCAGCGAGGCGGGCAGGCTGGGCGGCACGTAGCTGAGCCGGTTGCTGGAGAGGCTGAGGATCGCCATGGCCTCAGAGCCCCGGAAGGCATCGGGCGGCAGGCCGGCGTTGCTCAGCTGGTTATTGTGTAGATACACCGACCTAAGAGGAGCCATGATCAGCCAGCAGTCCCCCACCCGGCCCCCTGCACCCCTAAATCTTGTTCCCCAGCCATGGCTGAGTGCCCCTTAGGGTGCCCCAGAGCCCCAGCCCAGCAAAATGCAACTGAGTCTCCTTTGACTCCCCACCTCCACTACAACAGAGTTGTGTTGTCCCCCCTCCCCCCCAAAGCTGTCGGGCAGCCTGGTGCTACCTGAGGGCCGGCTTCTCCCCAAAAGTGAGCAGGAAAATCTCCACCAGTTGATTGGCAGCCAGGTCTGCGACCCGCAGGGTGGGGGGCAAGAACTGGGGGGCCACTGAGAGCTGCAAGAACCACAATCTCTGAGCCGAGCGCCGTGGCTCCCGCCTGCCATCCCAGCCACTCGGGAGGCTGAGATCTGAGGATCCAAGTTCAAAGCCAGCCCGGCAGGAAAGTCCCTGAGACTCTTATCTCCAATAAACCACTCAAAAAACCAGAAGTGGCGCTGTAGCTCAAGTGGTAGAGCGCTCGCCTTGAGCTGAAGAGCTGAAGGACAGCGCCCAGGCCCAGAGTTCAAGCCCCAAGGCCAACAAAAAGAACCACAGTCCTGCTGGTCCTGTTACCCCCTCCCCACTGCCCCGTGCACACACACGCCTGTACCCCTAACCCAGCTATGCTGTTTGTCGCTGGGTGCCGCCAGCACCCTCTCTGGGCTGTCGCTCACCTTGTTGTGGGCCACATAGATGTGTTGGAGTTGGGTGAGTGATTCGAAGGCCTCATCAGGCAAGCCTGGGGGGGGGGGGGGGGGGAGGAAGGGAAGGTGTGACAGAGGGGATGATGAGGGGACCCCCCAAATTTGGGGGATTATGAGTCTGTGCTCTCAGCCACTGAGGACTGTCAGACAGGCTTTGAGGTCTGCCTCCCCTCCCCCCCCAAAACCACAGCTTCCCCCCCCCCCCCCAAGCCAGAGTTTCCATCGCACTCAGCAAGGGCAGCTGTGGAACTGGCACCGAGCTGCCCGCAGGCCCGGGGGGTGGGGGGCAGGAGGACACAGGGATGGGAAGGACAGGGATGGGGTGCAGCCCCCCCCCCCCCCCCCCGCCTCACCCTCGGAGTTGAGGAGGTTGCCGTGCAGGTCCAGCGTGTGCAGGCGGCCCAGGCGGGACAGGGCGTTGTAAGGCAGCTGCTGGAGCTGGTTGTTCTGGGGGGCGGGGTGGAGTAGGGGGGCCTTCACCTCTCACCACCCCTCCCAGTGACCCGTGGCCTCCAGCACCGTTTCCCCAGAAGCCCATGCCACATCCGGTTGCCCGAAACGCAAACCACGAAAAGCATGCAGCATGAGCGCCCTGCCCGGGGGGAGCCTTCGCAGGCACTGCCAGCCCGGCCCAGGCCACAGCACCCCGACTGCAGGTTCCCAGACAAGCAGACCCCCGCCCCCCATACCTCACCTCCCACCATCAGCTGCCAAAGGTCCCTACACCCCACAGCACCCCAACCATGACCCCCGAACAACACACCATCACTGGTCCAATCCCAGCATCTCTCTGTACCCCCAAATTCTGTAACCTGGCTGTCCACCAATTGTGTGTGTGTGTGTGTCTGTCTGTCTGTCTGTCTGTCTGGTCTGTTTTGGGGCTTGAACTCAGGGCCTGGGTGCTCAAGGCTACTGCTCTACCACTGGAGCCACAGAGCCACTTCCATATTTTTGTTGCTTCATTAAAGATGAAAAACTCATGGACTTTCCTGCCCTGGCTGGCTTCGAACCACGATCCTTCCCTCTCCACCTGCTGAGGGGCTGGAATTACAGGCGTGAGCCACAAACCCGTGCCTGCCCACCAACTTGTATGAGAGACAGAGACCCCCCCCCTCCCCCAGGTGGCTCCACCCATGGCTGCCCGCACCCCCAGGGTCCCCACCCCCTGGTCCCAGGCCCCACCTGCAGGTTGAGGTACCTAGCAGCCCTGGTGATGTTGTGTGGGAACAGCCGGAGGTCCAGGCCGGCGCAGTCCACCGTGTCCGCCCGGGGGCAGGAGCAGCGCCAGGGACAGGTCCGGGGTGGGGGCTGCGCGCTCTCCCCGGGGTGGGGGAAGGGGGGGTCTTCCAAGCCCGGGGCAGGTGGGGGGCACAGCAGCAGCAGCAGCACACTTAACTGCTGAGGGTGGAGGGAGGGGTCAGCGCCCCCCACACCCCCCTCATCGGGCCTGGGTTGTCATGGCAACCAGAGCATTTTCCCCCCCCCTTCTCCCCGGAGGGGCCGGAGGGGAGGGCGCAGCCGGCCTGGCTGACAATAGCCAGTGGACAGAGTTGGGGAGCAGGCAAACCCCCCCCTCACACCCTCCCCCCCGCCCCCCCCCTCACCTTACCATGATCATCCTCAAGCTCTGCCTTCTCCCCCAAAAGTGCCAACCAGGGCTCCGAGCGCCAGCCAGTCACCTCCTGGAGCCTCCCCTGTGGCCGCCACCTCCCTCCATCTCTCAGCACAACCCCCCCCAGCAGGATCTGGCCCAGCCCTGCCCCCTCCCCCCAGGAGGGAGGGCAGGCGGCCGGATGGAGCGGGGAGGGAGGACAGACCAGCCCATCTCCCCGGGTCCCCTCGTCCCCCGCCCGTGCCGACCACTGCGCTTTCGTAACTCCGGGCCAGCTTGGCCACAAGACCAGGAATGTCTGCAGAAACGCTGACATTCGCCCTGTCTGGAATCCGGGTGGGGAGGGAGGAGGGCTTTGCCTCTGAGAGAGTCCCCAAGGAGCTGAGGCCAGCAGCCAGAGGCCTGGCCTCCAGCCTGGCCAGCCTGGGGACCCCAGACCGGCATCCGCCCCCCCCCCCCCCGCCAGCTGGCCTTCCTGACCCTCAAACACCACTTCTCTGGGCCTCATTTGTCCCTCTGCGAGGTGGGGACATGGCCGCGTCCTGTCTCACCAAAGGCCTCTGCCCAGAGGTTCGAAGTCCCCACCAAGCACCCCTTCCCGGGACATGACCTTCTCTGCCCGAACCTTCTCCTGCCTGAACCCCAGCTTTTCTGAGGGTCAAATGTGCATGACAGAAAGACAGTCTTCTAAGGACTGTCATAAAGTACAACAGGGAGGACCAGAAAGTTCTAAGATGCACGGAATACACAGAGAGCTCAAGAGTGGCCAAGGTTGGGGGAGGGGGTTGGGGGGAGGCTGGGACTCAAGGTGTCTGGGTGGGAGGAGGGGGGCTCCCAGAGCAGAATCTGAGACAAAGTGTTTCCATCTCTGTAAAGACAGAAATGGTTGGAGGGGGGGGGGTGGTCAGGATGGCCATGGGGGTGAGGGAGGGAGGGAGGGAGGGAAAGATCAATAAAGGAAGTTTACAGAGCAAGGATCTTTCAGGTCTTAGCCCTCAAAATCACATGACCTTCCAGGCTGGGTGGCTCACATAGAGGCCTGACCTACTCAGGAGGCTGAGATCTGAGGATCACAGTTTGAGGCCAGCTTGGGCAGGAACATCCATGAGACTTTTCTGTGAGGCTGTGGCACAAGTGGTAGAGGATCAGGTTTCAGTGACTCAATCTCAGGGACAGAGCCCAGGCCCTGAGTTCAAGCCCCAGGACACACCAGCCCAAGCAAAGAAAAAAGAAAAAGAAAACTTTCTTCTGGGCAGGGAAAGGAAGGGCAGAGGAGGGTGGGGCGGGGCGAAGTGCAGGGAGACCAGGCCAGTGGTTTATTCACAGGGTCTGTAATTACCTTCCTAGCCAATCACCACCTTCCATCCTTCTGGTCTCAGGGATTGGTTCTAGATGGACATGTGCCCACCCCTAGACCAATAAGATTCAAGCTTGGGGTTCTACTGATGTAAGCATTGCAAGACAGGTTGCTGCCTGAAAAATCTTAGCAGCACAGGGAAAGGGCTGCTGGAAGAGTCAAGAGGTACAAGGAGGCCAGGCAGAGTAGCACATGCCTGTAATCCCAGCACTCTGGAGGCTGAGGTTGTAGAATAGGACAGTTCCCAGCCAGCCTGAGCTACAGACAAACATTGAAACAAATTGCCAGTGATCATGGTGTTTCTGATGCCTGTAACCCCAGCTACTCACGAGTCTGCCATCACAGGGAGGAAAGTTCAAGGCCAATGTGAGCAAAGATTTTTCAAGACCTCATCTCAACCAACAAAATCTTGACATGATCAAGCACCGGGGGTTTACGTCTGTAATCCTAGCTACTCACTCAGGAGACAGATCTGAGGGTCTCAGTTCAAAGCCATTCTGGGCAGGAAAGTCCATGAGACTCTTTTCTCCAACAAACCACCAAAAAAGCCTGAAGTGGAGCTGTGGCTCAAGTGACAGAGCACCCGCCTTGGGCAGAAACATCTCAGGGACAGTGCCCAGACCCTAACTGCAAGACCCAGGACTAGAACAACAGCAACAAATCTGGATGTGGTGGTATGAGCTGAAGCATAAACAGGTGAATTCGAGTCTAGCTGGTTCAGGGAGAAAAACGGAGACTGTATCCGAAAAATAACCCTAAAGAAATCAAGACTGGCATTGTGGTTCCTTTTTGGGGAGGGATGTGATTTGCAGCAGGTGTGGCTTAGTGGAGGGGGCGTGGCTTCGTTGGGGTGTGGCTCTCGTGGTAGCTCACCTGCCTAGCAAGCAGAATGCTGAGTTGAATCTTCAGTACCAATGAAAATGTAAGAGCCCGAGACAGAGAGTGACTTTAACTCAATAACAGGTAATAATTCTAAGACATTCTTGGGGACCTCCCCATCTTTTCTTTGAGACAGGCTGAGGCCCAGCACCTCAGGAAGCTTTATCTGCCTGAAAGGCCTCCAGCCCTGTGCTCCACCCATGCGCTCTACTCAAGCCTGTGCATTGTTAATTGTTTAGCGGCTGTACCTATGGCTTCCTGTAATAAAGCTCAATTCCCAGACTCCCTTGCAGCTAAGCATGGTTATACAACCAAGGTCTACCTCTATACAACTCTCTCTGCTTCTCTCCTTTCTTTTTCTAATGTTTTCTCTTTCCTTCCTTCCTTCCTCCTTCCTTTCCATATGTCTGTGTTATTTATTTATTTGCCAATCCTGGGGCTTGAACTCAGGGCCTGGGCACTGTCCTTGAGCTACTTTTTTTTGTTGTTGTTGATTGTGGGGCTTGAACTCTGGACCTGAGTTTTGTCCCTCAGCTCTTCAGCTCAAGGCTGGTGCTCTACCACTTGAGCCATAGTGCCATTTCCAGTTTCCTGGTGGTTAGTTGAAGATAAGAGTCTCATGGACTTTCCTGCCCCAGCAGGCTTTGAACTGTGATTCTCAGATTCTCAGATCCTCAGATTCTTAGCCTCTTGAGTAGCTAGGATTACAGGCTTGAGCCAGCAGTACCTGGCCTCCCTGAGCTACTTTTGCTCAAGGCTAGCACTCTACCACTTGAGCCACAGTACCACTGCATTCTTCTTCTTCTTCTTCTTCTTCTTCTTCTTCTTCTTCTTCTTCTTCTTCTTCTTCTTCCTTCTTCTTCTCCTTCTCCTTCTCCTTCTTCTTCTTCTTCTCCTTCTTCTTCTTGGGTCTGGTCGTGGGGCCTGAACTCTGGGCCTGGGCGCTGTCCCTTAGCTCTTCAGCTCAAGGCTAGTGCTCTACCACTTGAGCCACAGTGCCACTTCCAGCTTTTTTCTTTTTTTGCTTATGTGGTGCTGGGAAGTCGAACCCAGGGCCTCAGGCATGCAAGGCAAGCGCTCTACCACTGAGCCACCTTCCCAGCCCATCTTCTTTTTTTTTTTTTTTTTTTTTGTAGGTTGTGGGGATTGAACTCTGGGCCTGGGTGCTGTCCCTCAGCTCTTCAGCTCAAGGCGAGCGCTCTACCACTTGAGCTACAACGCCACTTCCGGTTTTCTGGTGGTTCATTGGAGATAAGACTTTCACGGACTTTCTTGTCCCGGCTGGCTTTGAACCTCGATCCTCAGATCTCTTCCTCCTGAGTAGCTGGGATTACAAGTGTGAGCCACCGGCACCCAGCTCTGCATTCTTTTTTGAGTAGTTTAATGGAGATAAGAGTTTCACAGATTTTCCTTCAAACCATGATCCTCAGATTTCTTCCTCCTGAGTAGCTGGGATTACAGGTGTGAGCCACTGGCACTGGGCCTGTTCATTCTTTTTTATTGTTTGCTAAGGTTTCATTTATGGTGGGGCCACTCTTTGTTTATCCCATGTGGAGGGACTAGTGGGATGTTTCCCTTATTTGGAAGAACCAATTTTTGTAGCTGTAACAAATAAATCCACTATGGATGGGCATAGCACCTCACACCTGTAGTCCCAGCTACTTGAGAGGTAGAGATCAGAAGGATCAGGATTCCAGGTCAACCAGGGAAAAACATTCTCAAGAACCCATCTCAACTTGTACCTCTCCCCTGCAAAACATACACGGGGCATGGTGGCATGCACCTGTCATTCTAGTTCTTCAGGAAGCAGAAATAGGAGGATCAAGGTCCAGGTAAGTCAGGGAGACATTATTTGCAAAACAACTAAGGCAAAAAAAGGCCAGGGCACAACTCAAGTTGCACTATGTCTGTCTTAGGACCCTGAGTTCAAACACCAGTTCCCTCCCCACAAAACAGGCACACACACACACACACACACACACACACACTAACAAACAAAAACAACTCTAGTGGCCTCTGGTGCTGGCTATGTGGAAAATGGTAATTTCTAGTCCCTTCTACTTGTTTCGTTTTTGTCTATGGTTTGTGATTCATATGCCATAAAGTGTGGTCTAAAGGCAAATGTGTGTGTACCCAGTACTCACGCATGTTAGGATTGAGTGGTTAGAATGATTCTCTGGAATGCAATATGTAGTCAGAAAATTAGGGGTCCCTGTGATCCCTTCCAAGCAGAGAGAGAAAAAGATTGGGAAGTGAAGGTGAAGCTCACGTAGTAAAGGATTTGCTAGCACGTGTAAGGGAAAAGGAAAGAAAGAACTAAGGAAAGGAGGGAGGAAGGAAGAAAAAAGAAAGGGAGGGTGTTAAGGGAGGAAGGAAAAAAAGAGAAAGAAAAAGAGAAGAAAAGTCTAAGAAAAGATTATATTGGCCAGGTGCTGGTGGCTCATGCTTATAATCCAAACTATACAGGAGGTGGAGGTCTGAGGATCGCTGTTCACAGTTAGGTGAGGTAGGAATGTCTCTGAGACCCTTATCTCCAATTAGCTAGCAAAAAGCTGAGAGTGGAGCTGTGGCTCAAGTGGTAGGTAGGACATTAGCCTTGAGCACAAAAATCTCAGGGAGCAGGTGCTGGTGGCTCACGTCTGCAATCCTAGCGACACAGGAGGCTGAGATCTGAGGATTGTGATTCAAAGCCAGCCAGATTGAGCAGAAAAGTTCCTGTAAGACTTCTATCTCCAATTAACCACCCCCAAACCAGAAGTAGAACTGTAGCTCAAAGTGGTAGAGCACTAGGCTTGAGCAAAAATAGGTGAGGGACAGC